GCTTTCTGCCGTCTGTTTCCTTTCGCGCAGCACAAAAATGAATCGAAACTCTGCATACTAGGCTACTTGTTGCACAGTTTTTATTTCGTTTTCTTAATTTATTATTTAAGTAAAAATATATTTCTCGTATAGGCCTATTTATTATTATTATTATATTATTATATTATTATTATTATTTATATAAATATAGCCTAGCTTTATTATGTTTTTCTCCGCTGGCAGAAGCGCTGCAGGTGCGTGATGTGATATGATGACCATGTGAATCCTCATGTTCTGTTGTTTGCTGCTTTTTGCGCATGTAAAATTAATCCCCGGGAAACAAATGTTAGTATTTTTAACTGGTCACAGACACTTATCCTTTCTAATTTAATTCAGTTCTAATTTAAAATAATCTTGTCGGTTAATAATCGGTTAACGAGCGTTGGTTGTTGGTTAGGAAAAATAACCGAAATGAACATCCGTATTGGTAACCAAATGGTTTTGGTCACCATTGACTTGCATAGTATGGACACAAAAAAGTGGGGTGAGCAAATGATGACAGTTTTCAAGAACTAACCTTTTAATTTTTTTATGTTTTTCTAGTGACATATGTGATGGGCATTAGCTGCTTACTTTGAATTCCCATTTTTGTTCAATAACTTCCCGGAATATCCATCCCTCTTTTTATGTATAAGCTGGATATGCAGGTTAGACTCATTTGACTCGTCCCGCCTGTGCTGCATTACTAATTTACAAAGTTAATGAGCACATGTTGAGACTGGAGGATCTAGTTTCTTAGTGAGCTTTTCCGAACTCTAACCTTTGTTCTGAAGTGTCAATCTAAAAATACTTTAATCTGAACAAAAAATCTCCATGTATTTTATTTGAAAACTTCTGTTGTTTTGTCTTTTGGTATGTTTGAGGTTTGATCTTGAAAGTCGGTGAAGAGCTGTAGTGCTCAACCATTTGGCTGTTAATGTAATGCTACTTCCTAGTGCGTTTGTTTGAATGCTCTCTGAAGCACGTCATTCAAACAGACACTCCCTCATTTAGCTGTCATGTGAGTGCATGAGGCTGATTAACATACAGACATATTTACACAGTCCACTGGCCACCCGGATTCACTGCTAGGCAATGGCTTAGGTAGAGTTTAACTATTCAGTTAGTGTTCTTATGTTGTGCTGCCTGGATACATGTAACACTTTTGAGTATTACAGGTAGCCAGATACATGTTTCTAAATATATAGTTCATAAAATGTTGTGCATCTTATGAAATGTGTTGTTGCTTAAGCTCAGTTTCCTGTACCAGATAACTGCAGATAACTGTCTGATAATGAATAAGGAGGATCCATTTTTGATTGTTCTTCAGAGGCACTAAAATTGTACAAATATGTCACTTTAAGCAGCTTGCTCATCCCAGTAACCTTGTTTATTTTAAAGGAATAGTTTTCCCAGAACTGAAAATTGTGATTTATTCACTCTCATGTTTTTTTCTTTATGACTTACTTTCTTCTGTGGAAGACAGAACGGGTTGAAATTTTTGAAGAATGTAATTGGTTGTGGTTTTCCTGGTATTCGAAAGTGATAGTTTTGAGTAGTTTTGTGTGAGAAATCTAAGCTGTTATTCACTGATAATTTTCCTCTTCAGTGAGCTGTTAACCGCTGTGATCACTGAATCAACAACTAGATCTGTCCAATTCATGAATGATTCATTCAGACATGTCTTGTGAACCATATCGACTGATTCATTGAAAAGATGCAGCACAAAAGAACAATTTATTTACAAATTGGACTTTGGATGGGCTGGGATAGTTGACTAACCATTTAACAACCAACTAGGTGATTAGTGATGTTGGCAAGTGAGTTTAAGATTTGTAGTGGTGGTGTTTAAAGGAATCTTCACCGATAGGTTTTGACTCTTCATCCCATTTAAAGGGATATTTCACCAAAAAATTAAAATTCTGTCAGTAATTACTCACCCTCATGTTGTTCCAAACCCATAAGACCTTTGTTAATCTTCGGAACACAAATTAAGATATTTTTGATGAAATTCGAGAGCTTTCTGACTAGGGCTGCACGATAAATCGCATGCGATATTTAATGTGCATCTTGTGAGTAAAGGCGGTTCTGTAATCAGCGGTAAATCTCCATCACGTGCGTGCTTTCACATGGAGCAGCATTTACTACACAGAGCCGTTGTTAACTGACAAGCTGCACAAAACCACGATCATATATGAATGTGGCTTTGCGCAGCTTGTCATTGAAATAGACATTGTTGAATACATTTACATTACATTTAGTCATTTAGCAGATGCTTTTATCCAAAGCGACTTACAAATGAGGACAATAAAAGCAGTCAAAACTAACAAAAGAGCAACAATATATAAGTGCAAATGACAAGTCTCGGTTAGCCTAACGCAGTACACGTAGCAAGGTGTGTGTATATATATATATATATATATATGTATGT